GGGGGGGGGGGGGGGGGGGGGGGGACAAATGGATTATCTAGAATTTCGGTTTGAATCCGCATTTGAAATCACGTATTCCGGGAATTTCAGGAAGATATTGCTGATGCTTTCTGCGTCTACTGGCTAAGTGTGCAGCCGCCATGTCCGGATATTTGTTTGCCACGCGCTCTAGATCTTTGTAAGCGGCTCTCTGTGATGGATTGTGGCGTGAAGTCGTGGCTAGCAAGAATTGAACGGAATGTCCTGGACAGGTCAGTGCTCGTCCCAATCCTGCAAAAAGCCACTGGAATTTCTGTATGCGCTACTTATTTTTGCCGGACAGCTCTGTCTGCCTCACGAAACCGAAGAGCGCCCATAATCCACTTCTTCATGAATACTCACTGCCACGTGCCTTCCACGACGAAACATTCCACCAGCTCCATTGACGTACATGCGTCATGTGCACGTAGCATCGCCCCCCTTAGTCTTAGTCAAGCAGGCCAGTCACATCGCGAGCCGTATACCTCAAACTACCGTTGCAATGGTAACTGCTGACGTGGCCAGCTGGGGACTTTCGAAATGACAGTGGGTCGGTGCAACATCATCAGGATGGGTGTACGCTTAACGTAGCGGCACTGGACTTTCAGTTCTTGATCACAAGCTCGTGCAGTTTCAGTTTAGCTCGGCCTGATCTGATTTCAGTCAGGAGCTTGCTTCCGCTCTATCACTGTGTCTTATCGCTCGAGCTATTGCGTTGGAACAAGCGCAGCCGTCTGCTCCCTGGGTTTGTTGTTTCTTTAAAAGCAATCTCTTACACAATGCAGCCATCTGGCAATGCCAGTAGCAAGCATAATTTGTCGCAATTTGTAGCCATCATGTTTTCCTCACCGTAGTGTTTTACGGGCCGAGCTGATCCGGGTGATTCACGTCATCATGATTTGGCTATTCTTTTTTTAAATGAAACTGCAGAAATCGATTTTTCTTTTTGCACAATTCAACACTGTCGCCACAGTCCATTTCATATTGGAGTAATCCCTCATTCTTTGCTCAGTGGTCGTTGTTTTGAGGGAATTTCTAAAGGAAATGGTGGCTAACAAACGAAGGCAACTAGTTTCTGGGGACTTCGGTAATACTATAAAACAGAATCGTAGCGCTCAA